ATCGATCAATGTTTGACTTCTTTCTCACATCAGCTATTTGCATTTATCTTTGTTTTGTAGAGAACGTTTTATTTCAGTTTCTCATCCTTGGTTTTATCAGTCACACGATCAGAATACTTGTCACGACACTTTTAGAAGGTGAGCAGTAAAAGGTATCGCTTTAGAAACAATATTTTCCCGCTTTACAAACTGAAATGTTTTGCGATGAGCATTCGATGGCAGAGGAATTTTTGTAGCCTCGAAAAAATCTTAGATTTTGGTAAAGATTTTTTACTGAAAAATTTTTGTCTTAAACTTGTAATAGTCTAGAAAATAAAACGGTTTATCCAACATGAAGCCTTTGTATTCCATGATCTAACTTTTAACTCTCCTTTTTAAGTGCTATGATGTTATTGTGAATAATTTAAGAGAATATAGTATTACATCAAGAAAAACCAACTTTTGATATTATTTGAATAGTTTCTTTTAAAAGTCAGTTTGGGAGTGACAGAATGAGATTAAAGATGAAATATTTTCTCTGTGTTTGTATGGGAAAGCTGTATAAGGTTTCCCGATTTAGATTTTTTTTTTCACTCTAGCTGTTGTTATCATCCTTTTCGCAGCAAAAGCATTATTTCCGTCAATGGTTTCTGGTGATTTTAGTTTCTGGTTTTTCCTTGTTTCCAAGTCATACGGTCAGAATACTAAACAACACACTCTTCTTTGTGCGAGGGTAAGATGCCAAATGAAAAATTAATTTTTCTTTCCTTTCCCGTTTTCAAAACTATTTTCGCCGCCTCAAATCAGTCACAACAGAAATCAAATTCAAGAACAGCAAATTCTAACGAAAAAAAGAAAAAGCCACAATAATGTACAATGCACCTCATGGGGTAACTAAGAAGTCATGTTTACACGTCGTAGACTTAATTACTTTTCCAGTGATGTTATTAACCAATCAAACTCAGCACTTTGTTCTTAACCGAGCTACTTGCATTTATCTGTTTCTTGCAATCAGTCTCATCACATAAACAATTAGCACCCTGAACAGCCCATGTTTATTTTTTCAAAGTTTTACAGCTGAAAAACTAAATTTAGCAACAATCATTCTTTTCCCGCTATAAAAAAATTGAAATATTTTGAGTGAAAATTTGGGGGAATTCGATGATGTATGACTTTTTATTGTTTCAAACAATCTAACCAAAGTTTGTCTTATCAGCAATTCTTCCTTCAAGCTCCTTTACATTACCTTGCTAGTCATTAGGGAGAATCTGGTATTGTATCTTATTCTCGCCACCTATTCACTGGATGAAATTTTGTTATTGTAAAGAGAAGCAACATATTCCTCACTTCTGTGACTTGAAAGTCTTTAAAAAATCGGTCAAAGCGCGATCAAAACCACCAAGCTCTTATTAATGATATGCGAGGAGCTTACAATATTTATTGACGATCTTACGAGCAAGCTGTAATCCAACATCCATCCTTTAGATTTTTATAAGGATTATTTTAACCGATCATTTTAATATTCGATCCAGCAGTAACTCTTTGTACTCGTCTTTTCTTTGTACAGATAATTTCATATCTTGCTTCGGTTTCCTAACTATCCAGATACCCTTTCTTTTCCAAAGGTGAGCGGCTTAAAGTTTATTTCAGAAATATTTAGCGCTAAAATATATCGCTTTGAGATTTGCTCTATCTTAATTATGAACATAACACCTTGTTGATCGATCTGTTTACTCTCACCACCTGATTTCTGTAAGGTATCTTGATATTATAAGGAGAAACTACATATCCATCATTTCTTGAATGATGCAAAATACGAAGATCTGCTATTTTATATAATATATGTAACAGGCAATCTAGAAAACAATTTTCTTCCTTAGGTCTTTTTTTTATGATTTCTTCTTACCAAACGTGTGAGTAGAACGTTCTTAAATTAGTTTTAGTTGCGCAGTTAGCAGTTACGTTTATTTGACAGCGGAAGTCTCATTTCACTTTATTACTTTTGTTTTTATTAGCCACACCATCGGGAGACTAAAGAAGGCATTGTTTTCAAAGGTAAGCTGTTCGCTTTTTTTTTTTTAGCTCTGTATTGTCATTGCTTCCTTAGTTTCATTTTCCATGAGTAAAACTTACAGTACTGTTTAATTAACCGAAAAAAACGTTCGGATAAGTTGCTATACGAGTAAATTAAGCATTAAAACGCGAGTGGAATTCTTTACAAGGGGAAAATTTCCCTTTCCCTTGAAAACAAAGCTAACGGATGATTTCCAATCGTCTTCTAGACGTTTTAATTGCCTGCCAGCGATAGGCCTAAATAAAGATTTTAAAAAGCAGGTTGAAAAGATGGATTAGTTATGAGTGACATTAGTAATACATTTGGTTTACTGCATCACAAACCAAGGGTTAGAACACGGACTCGCCTTCGACGCATTTCATCAGGACAGGGCTTCCGGTTAAAACTAAAGAACGATTACATCAAAAGTCTCTCTGTATTATTTTATCTTCAATTGAATGAAATGTTTTAAGTTTTATTACAGCCATTTTGAAATCACTGGTGGTCCCTGTAATCTGATTGGCTCTAATTAATGCGATTTATTCACGAATCGCACCATTTTTTTGCTTTAAATCGCATCTTTTTCCCAGCCAATGAGGAGGCTACACTGAAAACAAAACAACCAATTAGATTTCAAGGCTTGTTTAAAGCAACCGATCAAACTGCCGGAAAATTAAAGATAAAGAGTATCATGTGCCAAATTTTGCAACTTTTGTCTCTAAAACTCTTACTTTTTCCCCCTAAAAACTGGATGAATTTAATTTCAGACCGGCTCAGTGCTACATCAATAAAATATTTGACCTGATCAAGTCCTGTATTTGGGCGATTTCAAAATGAATGTAATAAAGTGGTAATTGAACCTCGTGTCGTGCAATTTTGGTCTCAAATCATACCTGTGATTTCAAATCACGCGTGTGATTTCAGCCCTAATAAAATACATGGAAAAATTACTCAGCTCCTTTCCTGGTTTGGAAAAATAAAATTTCCAGGTAATTCAGTGCAGAGGAGAGTTAATTCAGTGCAGAAGAGGGTTAATTCAGTGCGACGAAAGTAACAAATCAGAAATTCTGATTGGTCAATAATCAAAGAAACTCACAGATAGCCAATCTAATGCGAGACTTGGATGTTGCAACAAAATTTGGAAATTTGAAAATTTGCGAGCGAAACAATGGCCGGCGTTTTAAGTAGGTTTTCTTTCGTCACCGCAGCTGAAAAACAGCTCAAACAACGAAAACACTGTAAAAAGCAATGCTTTTTGGTTGTCGGTTTGGAAAAAGTGGTGTTTAGAGAAGGGAATTGCCAAAGAAATCGAAAATTACGAGCCGAACCAGCTTAACACTAAGCTCGAGCGATCCAACGCCGAAATTAAAAACAAACATGGTTAAATCTCGGAAACGACGATTCCATTTCATCGAAAGTGATTCGGACACAGACTGGACAATTCCTCTAACTTTTTAACCGGACTCTGAACTTTTTTGCTCCTTAAAGATGGGAAGATATCTTTGCATATTATTGTTTTGATCGTACGCGGTTGTTTCGATCGAACGCACGGTTTGAATAAATTATTTTTGCACTTGTTGCGCGCGCTTTGCTTATGCTTAATTATGAAAAGCCGTCTCGTATTTTTCCATGTATATTATTAACACGTAATCACATGAAATTAAGTGCAAATTAAGTGCCTGGATTTTGAAAGTCAATTTGATAGCTTTGATATGATACTGCAATGAAATACAGAAATATTAAAGACAATTGAAAGTTTTGCGTGACTGCAAGAGTTATCAAAATAGATTACCAATGTAAAACAAGAAAACCTTTTCGCATGTTGACCATCCTGGCTGCGCGGGTGAAAAATATCAACATTGATAAAAGTACCATAACCAAAAGTTTATTATCTCTTGCCATAACGTATGCTGAGAATGATTTTAAAAACTTTGATGTTATATTCAGGTAGGCAAAATACTTTAAAAAATACCAAAAAAGGAAACATCTATCTCGTCCAATTTTTCGGTTGTTGAAGGTTCTTATGTACAGTATCCTTTAAGTAATTTTCAGTTCTAAGTAGTAAATCTAATCCGATAAAAATCTTTCCGATTTAAGCCGCTCACTCGGCTGGAGCGAGTGATAGGGGGGTGCATGAGGGCGAAAAAACGGGTGAGCACAAGGGATGGGAAAGAAGAACTAGCTCCTTCATAGTCCCACAAAAAAAAAATTCAGCCACTTCCCGTCCACTAAGAAAGAAAGGACAGCTTGCGCTTTCATCTTCTCTCCTGATAGAAATCACAGATATAGGATTCTTCAGGAAAAATCAAAATTGTTCTTCAAAACCAAAACGTATCAATAACATAAATGACATCTGTTGCAGTTAGAAGTCCGAGGAAATTTTCTTCCTGAGCAAAGAGCATTATTCAGGAAAGTTCTTTCACCTATCAGGCAGATACAGCGAGTTGCAGAGGTCAGTGTGAATGACATGAATGCACGCGCGAGACGCGTCGTGTAGAATACACTCCCACTAAAATGGTCCCGTTCTATTCACAATGTCTACCCAGTAGAAGTTCCAGAAATAATAATGTTGATGTAGATTCAACATATTTAATGTCGTTTAATTTGTTACACAAACACCAATTTAACAATGTCTTGCGTTGAATTTAAATTTTAATGGCTAAGGGTGCTAATTTTGATTTCCCCTCTAATGAATGTAAGTGGAAGTCACTTTCAAACAGAACACTGCGACCAGATTCAGTTCTAAATGATTGTGTAGTGCGTAAAAAATAAATAATCAGTGAGTTGAACGCCAGCATAGCACGATCAATGGATTAACCGATGATCAATTGGTTAAAAAATTGATAGAGCCTGTCTTGAATTAAACAAGAAAGACAAGAGGCGCTCATGCATCTATAGAAAGTCTTCGTTTTTGCTGATTCTTTTCTCACGTTTGGGGAAATTATTTTAACATTCAGGATATGACGTAATGAATAACGCAGCAGAAATCCTAAAGTCAGTCCAGATTGGTTTGGACGTCGCCATATTTCTCCTTAACACTGATCGTGGCCTACAAGCGACCGAGTTATGTAATGAATGTTTATTTCTACTTCACAAACTTCCCTCTGGTATTGACCTTGACCATGATATCTCTGATGTATTATTCAATGCGTTCTACGCCACTTCTGGTTACACAGATGCAGCACGATACACCACAAAACTTATTAACAAGTTTTTCCTCGCTGGAGAACTAACCATACAACTGGAAGACAAATACAAGGCAAAATGTTGGTTTGCAGAGGCAAAGCAACTTTGTAAAAGCGCTCTTACCATCATGAAAGCGATTGGCCACCGTAGAAAAGAGGCAGTGGCTTGCGCGAGACTTGGATCTCTTTGCTTTATCCTCCGCGAGTATCTAAAGGCGAAAGAATATTATGAGAGAGCAATTGCCATCGCGATAGAAATCGGCGACAGAAATGGAGAAGGAACAAGATACGGGAACCTCGGAGCTGTGTTTCAATCCCTTGGCGAATATCAGAAGGCCAAAGAATATTACGAGAAAGCAATTGCCATCGCGATAGAAATCGGCGACAGAAATGGAGAAGGAACAATATACGGGAACCTCGGAGTTGTGTTTCAATCCCTTGGCGAATATCAGAAGGCCAAAGAATATCACGAGAAATCACTTGCCATCGCGATAGAAATCGGCGACAGAAATGGAGAAGGAACAAGATACGGGAACCTCGGAGCTGTGTTTCAATCCCTTGGCGAATATCAGAAGGCCAAAGAATATTACGAGAAATCACTTGCCATCGCGATAGAAATCGGCGACAGAAATGGAGAAGGAACAACATACGGGAACCTCGGAGTTGTGTTTCAATCCCTTGGCGAATATCAGAAGGCCAAAGAATATTCCGAGAAAGCACTTGCCATCGCGATAGAAATCGGCGACAGAAATGGAGAAGGAACAAGATACGGGAACCTCGGAGGTGTGTTTAAATCCCTTGGCGAATATCAGAAGGCCAAAGAATATTACGAGAAAGCAATTGCCATCGCGATAGAAATCGGCGACAGAAATGGAGAAGGACCAACATACGGGAACCTCGGAGGTGTGTTTCAATCCCTTGGCGAATATCAGAAGGCCAAAGAATATTACGAGAAATCACTTGCCATCGCGATAGAAATCGGCGACAGAAATGGAGAAGGAAGAAGATACGGGAACCTCGGAGTTGTGTTTCAATCCCTTGGCGAATATCAGAAGGCCAAAGAATATTACGAGAAAGCAATTGCCATCGCGATAGAAATCGGCGACAGAAATGGAGAAGGAACAACATACGGGAACCTCGGAGTTGTGTTTCAATCCCTTGGCGAATATCAGAAGGCCAAAGAATATTACGAGAAAGCAATTGCCATCGCGATAGAAATCGGCGACAGAAATGGAGAAGGAAGAACATACGGGAACCTCGGAGGTGTGTTTCAATCCCTTGGCGAATATCAGAAGGCCAAAGAATATTACGAGAAAGCAATTGCCATCGCGATAGAAATCGGCGACAGAAATGGAGAAGGAACAAGATACGGGAACCTCGGAGTTGTGTTTCAATCCCTTGGCGAATATCAGAAGGCCAAAGAATATTACGAGAAAGCACTTGCCATCACGATAGATATCGGCGACAGAAATGGAGAAGAAAGAACATACGGGAACCTCGGAGGTGTGTTTGAATCCCTTGGCGAATATCAGAAGGCCAAAGAATATTACGAGAATGCAATTGCCATCGCGATAGAAATCGGCGACAGAAATGGAGAAGGAACAACATACGGGAACCTCGGAGTTGTGTTTCAATCCCTTGGCGAATATCAGAAGGCCAAAGAATATTACGAGAAAGCAATTGCTATCGCGATAGAAATC